AGTATGACACCCATATCCACAGTAGGCCTTGAAACAAACAGGAAGGCCAATAAGAAACGTTCACGACGTCGCAAGACGACTACAACGTTCCCCAAGAAGGCAGACGATTGCAAGGTCTGCAATTCTATTGTCGAACAAGCAGACTCTGCTTTCGAATGTAACTTTTGTAAGCAATGGGTACATTGTAGATGTGACACCGGAGTACCAAAGGTATATTACGATTTTATGCGTAAGAACCCATGCCCATGGTTCTGGTACATATGCCCAAGTTGCCGTCCTAATGCAGCCTCGTGTAGTTCCTCGAAAGCTACAGATGGCATAGAGGTATCAGGAAATAACGTGAAACGTTTTACTCCCACCAACTCAGAAAACAGCACAATTGCATGTAAATCGGGGATACCAAAATCCGCACCGGTTATACTTGCAATTCCTGCCATAACTGCCCCAGACACAGAGGTTGAAGCACCAAGGGTACCTGTCGCCGGGAAAAGACCCTTACCGTCCACCAGTAAAAGTGGCCACAGCACTGCGACACATAATAATACCCAGTTGCACCAGACGAAACAAAACGGTCTTAAGAGGGATGACAAATGTGCGAGGACCGAACCTAAATCCACGGTCAGTCGATCAAACTGCGTTATCCTCTTTAATGTACCAGACTGTAGCAGTAGTCTGCTGGAAAACAGGGCCCTGTTTGATCAGGAACAGTGGTCCAACTTATGTAGCACACTGGGTCTGGACATCCAACCAGTAAGACTATGCAGATTGTATAAGGGCACTGCTGCTCCTCAAGGCAAACCATCCCCACTGAGGGTAACACTAGGCTCAACAGAGGATGCCGAAAAAGTTTTATTGACTTCCCAAGTCCTTTCTATAGGGAGGACCTGCAGTATACGTGTTAGGCCAGATAGGCCATGGAAGGAAAGACAGATGGCGAGGGAGTCGCCAGAGCTTATTCCTTCTGCCTCCATGGTTGTTCACGGCATTCCCGAACTGGGAACGCTTGTGAGAAGCACTGTCACGATGTCCAGCAATGGAGATGGTTGGCATCCCAGATGGGTCTGGGAAGTTCAGGGGCTGTCTCTATTTTTAGACTGCCTCGACCCACTCACCTAATGTCAATTAACACCCCACGTCTGTTAGCTGTTAAGTTTAGCTCCCGAGACCACTTGACTACTGCTCACCAGAGATGGTACGAGACCAAAGACAAGGTCAGCAGACACATTCGCTGCTGCGAGAGCCGGCCTCGTACCCAAAGGAGAGAGCAAAACGTTGTCATAGAACATCCCCAACCCCTAGTCACAATACAGCGGTGCAGCACGGACGATGATAGCCAGTGCCATCCAAGTGCTCCGATCGAATCAGAAGAAAAAACTCCAACAGGCCGGTTCCCGGGGAATCGGCCAACTAGTTCGTAGGATAACTCCTCAACCGACAGCCCACATCACTTCAACCACCCCCCAATACGGGGACGTGGTGAGACTGACTACCAGTTGCCTGTACAGTAATGTGAGAGGTCTAAGAGGCAAAATAGCTGAACTTAGATACCTACAATCACAGCTGAACTCCAAAATCATAATACTGACGGAAACCTGGCTAACCCCTACGGTGGCAGACAGCGAAGTCAGTATAAATGATATGGTCCTTGTCAGGCGAGATAGGGATCTGAAAGAAGGAGGTGGAGTCGCCATATACGTCGACAAACAGCTCAGATGTGTCCATGCAATCGACCCTCCCCTCATTGAACTCCCTGACTCCATATGGTGCCATTTCACCGTTGGGTACTGTAAGTATCTAGTGGGCAGCATTTACAGATCACCTTCATGTGGAGCAGACCACAACCAGGTACTGCTGAATGCAATTTCAGCGACACATGACATGGGTTATGATCAAATTGTCATAGCTGGAGACTTCAATGCCCCATCTCTTAACTTGATGACGGGATGTGCCCAGGACAGATTCGATCGAAATCTGCTGCATACCATCACGGAGGCCGGATTCACCGAAAATGTCAGAATGGATACTAGATGGGGCCCAGATGGGAAGTCTTCCAGACTGGATTACGTGCTCACTAGTGACCAGCTACTAGTGGAAAACGTTCAGATCACGACTCCCATAGGTAGTAGTGACCATGCGGTCATAACATTCGACATAGTCCTCCGCGAGCGTTTACAGTGGGACAATACACAGCCCTATCTGTGTTATAACAAAGCCAATTACACCGAAATGCGAAGACTTTTGTCTGAAGCAAATTGGCCAAAAAATTGGACAGAGCTTACAGTAGAAGAACACTGGAGAGTGGTAAAGGAGATCATTCACCAGGCGATCTCAGACACTGTTCCTTTGGTCACACCTAAAGCTAGAAAGCAACGTTCATGGCTAAAAAGGGGGACACAACGCCTTCTACAGGCGAAGCGAAAAGCCTGGTTTGCGTGGCGAGTATCGCAGAGTCAACCCGAACATGAAGAGTACCTCGAACTCAGGAATCGGTGTAACATACGAGTCCGGAGTGATAGAAGGACATTTCAGAGAAACCTCGCCAATAAGCTTCTCGTGAACCCCAAAAGCCTATACAGGTTTATGTCTGAAAGAAAACCGACCAACCAGGGAGCTTGCAATATAGTGGGTTCTGATGGGAAATCTCTTACTAGTCTTGAAATGGCAGAGACATTCAGTCTAGCCTTTCACAGGCAACTGAACAGTAACGAGGATTTTACCCTCACAAAACATCAAGATTACAATGCAAGACCAACGTGCGAAAACCTGCTGGGTACATTTCAAATTACCCCGGCTATGGTACTCATAAAATTGGGAAAGTTGGCTTCGGGAAAGTCTGCAGGTTGCGACGACATAAGACCATCCGTCCTGAAGCAGTGTTCAGAAAGTCTCTGCCAACCCCTAAGTGATCTGTTTCAACACTCCTTTGATGTAGGGAAACTTCCATGTGAATGGAAACGAGCCATCCTATCCCCTATCTTCAAGGGTGGTGACCGGCAGAACGCGACCAGTTACAGACCAGTTGCGCTACTCCCAGTGATATCGAAGATATTGGAAAGTCTCATTGACGACCACATGAGAAAATACTTCGACGGGACTAACCTACTCCATGAAGCACAGCATGGTTTCAGGAAGGGAAGATCCTGTGTGACGAATCTTCTACTAGCTTGGAACGATTGGACACTATCCTGGGATGTAAAGGTACCAGTCCATGTGATCTTTCTCGACTTTGCGAAAGCATTCGACACAGTTCACCATGGTCTGCTCCTTCACAAAATAAGCAAAGCGGGTGTTTCTGGAGCACTTCTCGCATGGCTGGAAGATTATTTAGGCGAGAGAGAATTCTGCACCAAAGTCAACCGCATCCGATCATCCTGGCACACCTCGGCATCAGGGGTTCCTCAGGGTTCTATCTTAGGGTCGTTGATGTTTTTGATTTTTATCAATGACCTGCCCTGTCAACTGAATTGCTCTGCGCTTCTTTACGCTGACGACGTAAAGATTTGGAGAGCAATAAACTCATCGGAAGACTCCGACAGATTGCAGGCTGACCTGCAAACGCTGGGGGACTGGGCTCTGGCTAACGGAATGCCTTTCAACTTAAAGAAGTGCAAAGTAGTGCAACTTCATTCCGGCAGGTCACAGAGTGCAAATTACACCCTTGGTGGCCAGAACTTGAGTTGTGTGCCATCAGAACGCGATCTAGGCCTTATTTTAACAGAAAAGCTAGACACCAGTGTAAATTACACGAGGGACGTCGCCAAAGCTTACGGCACTTTACACTTTATGCATAGGCAACTGGGAGCTCTTACTCCTGAACTATTCCTAACGTTGTATACGACATACGTGAGGCCACTCCTTGAGGTGTATAATATCATTGCTCCTCCGCTACTCAAAAGGGATGCTAACATGCTAGAAAGTGTCCAGAGACGAGCGACAAAATGGGTGATCGGCCTCCGCAACAAATCATATGAGGAGAGACTGAAGAAATTAAGTCTTTTCACACTTAGTTACCGTAGTCACAGGGGAGACCTCATCACCGTCTATAAGATCCTAAATGACCAGGCCCATCCTGATAAGAGCATCCTGCCATTAAGTGATTATAGGCTTCCACGAGGTAACCCGCTAAGGATAGCACACCAGAGACCAAGGACTCGAGTGCGTTCACATTTCTTCTCGCTTCGAGTTTGCCGTCTCTGGAACGCTCTACCGGCGGCCGTAACTACAGCTCCATCTGTGGAGATTTTTAAACGGAAGCTGGACAATCATGCAGAAATGCATGGTTTGTGTCTCAATGGCTTACCCTCTTAAAATTTGAAACCACATTGTCAATGGATAAGCATACAAGCTAAATCCCCACGACCCGTCCTGTCTTCTCCCACTGTACCGACTACTCTATCTTTCCTTTTCTTTCTTTCTTTATTATTTCACTTATCTCAACCTATATTATCTACACTACAACCTATTATTATCATTATCATATTATTATTACTCTACTTTTATGACTATACCGAATGACCAACGGGTGTTAGGTCAAACTCCATTCACGGCAGCAGCTGAGTCCTAACATACTGCACACTACAAACCACAATCTTGACCAATCCTCGCATCACTCCTACAGGAGTCTACCAGAGCTAAAGCAGTCGAGTGGCGGGATTTACTACGCATAAGTTCACCGAAGATCTGGAACCTCTACCTTAAAATCAAGAAGCGAGCTCAAAGAAATCACTGGTTTATACTAGCTCGTAATCAGGATATTGGATATTGGATGTATGTTGAATATTGGATAATAGTGTTGTCGTTTTGATTCAAGGTCGTTTTTCGAGTTACATACGATTTAGATGAGTGGTCTTAGTGGTGATTTCAAACCTGATGATGTACACTCTCCTAATGACTGGGAGCATGTTAACCTGGGATCTGAAGAGAGGAATAAAAAGTTTCTGAGATTGATGGGTGGGAAGCCCGACCGTACACACAAGGGGAAAATTGTAATAGGGGAAGATGTAGAAAGTGTCCACAAAGGTAGCAAGGATCCATCTGTAATAAATTTGGAGCTGGAGAGTCAATTCCGTAAAAGTCTGGAGAAATCTACTACTTTCAACCGCCACGCTGGTCTAGGCTGCCAACAAGGTGCGTTGCAGAATTTCTGTTTATTTCCTCTCACTTTGGTTGTCCTAAAATTTTAGAGACTTTTAATACATGTATGTTATAACTAAAAAGCCCAACACTTTAGATCACATAGTGCCTGATGACTTTGCAGAATCTACACTCCCTACTAGTGTCTTATATTGTCATGTACCAGTGTGTGTGTGCCAATTGTATGACATGTTCTATTCTCCTGTTAGGTTAGTCTGTCCGAAAACATAAACAGATAAGAACAGAGAATGATCTTATTGTTCTCTGACTGTCATTAAACACTGGGTAAGAACCATCTGCCTGCCGATTTGACCGATAGGTAATCTTATTGCCTGTCTGTCATATAGTGATCATGAATCTGCTTCATTGTTTCGCATTTTAAAAACATGCAGCAGTTGAGTTGTACTTCATCCTGTTTTAATTTCAGGTAGATTTAAACTAACGTAATGATGTTGGAAAGGGAGTATTTAAACCAACCGTCATTTTGTACATGTTAGAAGGTGCTTTTCTGAGATGTTCTTCCCCAGTGAGGGGTTTTCTCAATCAGTATTTAATAATTGGGTTTATGGAGTGGGAATGTTTAGTCTAAATAGTTAGTCATGAAGTCTGTAGTTATTTTTCACACTTAATAGAAGATGCGTTTGGTTACTACGGTATAATTGAAGGTGGCATTTATTGACTTTGATGATTGACTTCAGGGAGTCTGTCAAAGGCTGAAAATGTACTTCATTAAGAGGGAGGGGTAAAGCAATCGATGAAATTACAAAGTTGCACCAATTGAAATGGGTAGGACATGTGCCAAGCCGGCACCTTCTTCGATGGACACTGTTAGCTAACATAGGATTAGGTTGGGAAAGGTTTACTGGTGGTCTGAACAAAACCCGCAATCAATTCGTGAAATCTTTGATAGTTGGTATGAGCCACTTAGAAAGATGTAGACTACTCGGTTGGAGTCCCTAAGATGCTGAGAACATATGGCTAGAGAGTGTTGGTGATATGGCTCAAAACTGTCCTCATCGGCGTAGAAGTATCCATTCTTTGTAATCTCACAGATCCACTAAATCCTCATGTTGCCCACGTTACTATTCTTTCTTCCGTAAAATTCTGCCCACTGTAGTTCTTATGAATTTATTTCTTCTACTTTTGTGTACTACATGGATTATAACAACTTACAGCGTTGTATTTTTTTCAGAGTTCTACGCTGAAAGTCAGTCACTTCACTAGTGAGTGACTCATGAAACTGGGTAATATTGGGAATCACTGGATGTTGTGAGCTATAACCTTCTACATAAGAAGTATACTTCGTCATAGCTTCATTATTTGCGGACGATATTAGGATATGGAAAACTGTAAATAATAACGACGATAGGTTGGTACTACAAAACAATCTAGATAAATTAGCTGAATGCGCTAACCTCTGCAGTCTGGAAATTAACTCCAAGAAAAGCGCCATAATGCACCTAGGTCAAAGGTCTTACACGTCGTACTTCCTGGGGGACACAGAACTGCCAGATGTTAGGGGACAAAAGGACTTGGGAATTATTGTAAGCCATGACTTAAAAACAACGGGAAATTGTAATGGAGCCGCAGCTAAAGCTTTTAGAATGCTATGGGCACTTCGAAGGACTTTCAAACGATTAGACGAGTGTATGTTCCAAGTACTCTATGCAACATATGTCAGACCTCATCTAGAGTACTGCATACAAGCGGCGAGTCCATGCTTCAAAAAGGAGGCACATATCCTGGAAAGAGTACAGAGGGTAGGAACAAAACTAGTTAGTGGTATCTCACACACATTGCCTGTTGTCGAGGAAGGCGACGGCTTGGCAGGCATACGTAACACATTTCCTGACCATCGCAATTGATGTAACTGTTTCACAACCTCGTTTATTGATTTCTCCGTAATCCATATCAAGCTGGAAATAATCGTCACCTTTTATTCGTCTTCGTAATTATGTGGGAATAATTAATAATGATAATAATAATTGTATCTATGTAAATTCATTTATTTAAATGCGATTATTGTACAGCTTTTGAAATCGCCAAAAACATAGATATCTTTACTGAACTTCGTGTTCTCTTCCTTCTAGTCTAAATAACAATTGCATTTTAAACTAATTATTATTATTTCAGTGTGAATTTATACGTTGGCTTTCTAGTTATAGTTTTCTTCACGAGGAGGAATGTATGTGTGTTCGTTGAGTGAAGCTTATGACTTTAACTTTGTTATTGAGTCACTTTTACATTGAATTTTCTCTTCACAGGCTCACCGTCTCATCCAGTTCATGATTTAGATCTTACTAACACGGAGAAGCTGAAACAGCAGTATACATCGTCATTTGTTCCAAAAGGGGATCAATAGCAGCCTAACCTACAATTTTTATCATTATCATTATTATTACGTGAATCAACAGCATTTCTTGCCATCTCCTCAGGGATGTTAATCTGTTTTTGTAAACGTAATAATTTTCTTACAAGTGGGTTGACTGACTAACGTAAGAGAACCAACCTTTTAAAAATAAATGGATAAATAAATAAATTTATTTATTTTACCCAGCGAATTTGTTAATATTTTCATACCTTTAAAGTTTATCCGTCAAAAACTGGAGATTTCTTTCCTTTTTTCTGATGAGAAATATTCTTATACTACTTTTTATAGTTCATGTCGTAAAAGGAAGACGATCTGCTTTTGAAGCGTTTTAACCATTTTGTATCATATTTTTGAGTTATTTGTAATTTTCTTTTGTTTTGTAAGAGTTTCCCCATTGTTGTTTGTATTGTTAGAATTGAGTGATTGTTTGTTTCTATGTAAAGAATTATGGAAAGTATGGAAAACAAAAATTCAACGATGAAAATATGTGCAAAATGAGTTAAAGTCTTTCAGTTAATTAAAAGTGTTCTTTTTTTTAAATTAAAGAAATGTTTATCTTATTTGTTTTATCATTTGTGTTCAGGAATAAGGATACGAGGACTGGACTGCACTGACTCCTAGTTTAGAAGTAGAGAGTGAAGTGGTTAGTGAAGCATGTTGACCACTTCAGTTATTTAGGGAAGTTGCATCAACAGTGCCAGCGGGTTGATCGATGAAGAAATCTCACCACGGCTACAAAAGGCTCGTTTGGCTTTTTTTGATGTGGTTGTGTTCTCTGAGATGGATAGTTAATTTGCGAAGCTTTCATTGCCCTACTAGGCAACACTCCCACCTCAGCGCATACTTCAATTGGATGAAGTGAGCTTTTAGATTTCTCCACGAGTTTATTATTCATCTCTCCTGGTGGGTGACCTTGGACGTGACTGGTTGTTTTTGTGTGTTTTCACACCCTCTAGGCTACTTGTATTGGAGCTGATTGTGTGCGTCTATTCACTGGTATTCCAGTGAATCATTAATCAATAGACACATCGAGATAGACAAAATCTGCCAACTAATCAGAAGGAACCCTCACACACAAAAGGCTTTTTTATTTTATTTTTTATTTTGATTACAGCTTGATGCCACACTGTATTTTCAGTACAAGTATGGCATTTTCAGCAAGGATATCGGTAGCCCAAATTTTGCAGGCCGACCATAGATATCGAGTGTCCGTCGGTAGGGGATCGAACCCCAGACCATGTGCATGGTCGGCGAGAGTCCTAACCACTGTGCCACCGACGCACACAAGGTCAAAGTTCAAGTCCAAGAAACAGTCAGTTCCAATACAAGTAGCCTAGAGGGTGTGAAAACACAAAAACAACCAGTCACGTCCAAGGTCAGGTGACCAGGAGAGATAACTAATAAAGTCGTGGAGAAATCTAAAAGCTCACTTCAAATTGAAGTATGCACTGAAGATGTCACCCAGTAGGGTGATGAAAGCTTCGCAAATTAACTATCCACCTCAGAGAACACAACCACATCAAAGTCATCCACCTGAGCTACAAATCTCCATCATATCTAGACTCGTTCGGCATTTGTCAGCTAACTTATGCCATCTCTGGTTTGGTAGAAGTGATATCCAGCTGGCTGGCTATCGACCAAAGGACGTATGTACTGCTCATCAGTCCTCTCCATCCTCCTTTTTGGTTGTGAGTAAGACATGGCAACCATTGGAAGTGGAAGATATGAAAAGGCCGGCTAGCTGTCTTTGATCATAGGTGCCTGTATTCTATCTCCCGTGTGAAGTGGTATAATAATGTGATCAATATTGAGGTTAGGCGCTGAGTGCTAGGTAAATCAGAGGAGATATGAATCGACGAGGTTGTGAAGCAGTTACATCGATTGAGATGGCTAAGACATGTGTTACGTATGTCTGCCAAGCCATCGCCTTCCTCGACAACAGGCAGTGTTACCTGACATAGGGTTAATTAGATTGGAAAAAGCTAGCAAGTGGTGGTCAAACCAAGACATGGCTTCATCAGTCAATGAAATGCATAACAGTCAGTTTCAGGCAGCCAGAGAGCCACGTAGGGAGGTGTAAACTCACTTCCTGATTGGTTTTGGTCCTCGGGTTGGTAAAAATCAGTGACGACTGGAGACAATTGGTGATATGTCTCAAAATCGTTCTCAATGGCTGACGGAAGTGCACTCACTCTTTGTGATTTGTCATATCCAATAAAATTCTATTGTTCTTCCATAATATTACTTTTCTTTTTCCCTCACTCACACTTCTGTTTATTATCTCGCTTTCGAATGTCTCCTCACTCTCTTCTCTCTCCTCCTTTGTGTATGCTACATGGATGGAGACTGGCAGTTCGAACTGCCGCACATCTGTGCAAAGTTCTATGTTGAAACCAGTCAGTCAGGGATACCAGGATGAAAAATTTGAAGCATTTCTTCCTGTCTTCAGTGAAGTAGACTTCCATATGAGAAAGTTGTTAGAACCATTTGCTTTGCTGCTTTGTGTGTATATGCCTTTCTGTCAAGATAACCAGCGGGTATTTTTACCCATAATAAGAATGAATGACTGACTGACTGGTTTCAACGTAAAACTTTGCACCGACGTTCAACAGTTCGAGTCGCGAAACTTCACTCAGCACACAATGCCAGAGAAGAAAGTAAAAGAAATGCAAAACAAAGACAGTATACAGAGATATTAGGCAAAAAGAATAGTAATATCGAAGAACAATATAGTTTCATTGGGTATTATAATTCACAAGGAGTGGATGCATCTGCACCAGCCATTGAGAACGATTTTGAGCCATGTCACCAATTCTCTTCAGCCTTCATTGGTTTTTACCGTCTCGAGGACCACAACCAGTCAGGAAGTCTACACCTTCCTACATGACTGGCTTAAACTAACTTGTCGATTTCATTGACTGGTGAAGCCATGTTTTGGTTTGACCACCACGTTCTAGCTCTTTTCCAACCTGATCCATCCTATATCAGTTAACATTGCCTGTTGTCGAGGAAGACGATGGCTTGGCAGGCATACGTAAAATAGCACAAGTCCCAACCATCTCAATCGATGTAACTGCTTCACAGCCTCGTCGATTGATTTCCCTTACAAACAAATTTTTATGCAAATGTACAAAAGGCAGCCGAAATATTTGATGTTTTTGAGTAATTTGAATATTCTCAAGAATAAATAGAGTGGTCAATTCCTTTAAGTCAAACTAACTTGGTGCCAGTAGCAGGGTGATCTCGAATGTCTTGACCCCAGGGGGAAGCTCACTTTTTTTACTTCGACATATTGAAGCCTGCGACGATCCTTAATCGAGCTCTATCGGATACACAGTTTTTTTCTAGCGAGATCTTCGGGTAATCCCTTTATTTATGCTGACAATTCCACATTTGTACCAAAATACTGTTTGGAATAAAGCATTATTATTCAGGCTCTACAATTATAAGTGAATTAATTTTAACATACAATAGTCATACATAATCTAAAGGATAGTCAAAACGCATTGATTATTATTCTGTATTGTACATATTTCACAGCACACTTTCTGATATAATTCTGATTTACCTTCACTGGCTACTCTATGCTAAAATTAATAGATTTATAATTGTAGAACCTGAGGAGGAAGAATTTATTGAAGGCACAATTGTTGTTATTAGATGGTCGGAGACAATCAGCAGGAAGCCTTGGAGCTAGGTTTCGTGCTTGTCGACACTCACCAGCTAGCAAGGCGTATTTGCAATCTTGAAGGAACTCATGTCCCTTCTGTGGTAACGTCTCTGACTACAGCACTGGGTGACGTGGGTTCGAATCTCAAAAGGGATAGGAGTTCCTTCAAGGCAGTTGCAGATACGCCTTGCTGACTGTTGAGTACCAACTGGCAAGAAACCTAGTTTCTGGGCTTTCTGCTGATTGCCTCCAAGCATCTAATAACAACAATCCTTAGTATAATGTACTGGCATGGTGGCCACACTACAAACTTGACTGATAGAATTCAATCTTCAGGAAACACAGGACTAGACACATGACACTAGTTACTGACTAGTGTCCAATCAAAAATGAAACCGCAATTGTTCGCCCTAATTTTTTTCTGAGTGACATATTTTGTTACTTAAAAAGTAAAAAGTAGCTCAAATTGTTTTTGAAAATAATTGAGTGTCAAATTCCATTTTATTGGACACATCACACCCAGAGAATGAAACAGTTTTATTTACAGAATGTGTTGTTTCATAATCATATCAGCTGTATGTAAAAAACTTTGGAACTGGATTTCTGTTTATGCTTGTCGTTCTTCGTTCCCACTTGTCTTAAGAATGAGAGAGTATTTCTAATTTTTAAGCATTAGCTACTGGGACCCTCAGTTCTTCTATACGGATCAGAAACTTGGCCGGTCACAAAGAATATTTCCAACAGCCTGTTGCAGACCTTTATCAACAACTGTCTTCGCTCTATACTGAAGATCAGATGGCCGGAAAGAATCACCAACAAGAAATTATGGGAACAAACAAAACAGGAGTCAATCGCTCAACGAATATGCAGGAGAAAGTGGAGATGGGTTTGACACTTGCTGAGGAGGCCACTGGGTGACATCGCGCGTCAGGCCCTTAAGTGGAACCGGAAAGGGAGGCGGCGAGTGGGACGTCTAATGGTGACATGGAGGAGATCGTGTGAAGAGGAGTTGAAACAGTATGGACTAACATGGATGCAAGTGAAAAGTACAGCATAAGACAGAAGCAAGTGGAGGAGTGCAGTCGAAGCCCTATGTTCCACTAGGAACCCAAGGGAACAATAGTAATAATAATAATATTGGGACCCGATTCCACGGCCTAACTTCCACCATTTCCTGATCTTATTGCGACTAACAACCAATTTCATTGACGGGAACTCCATCTTCATTTCCGACTGGCGAATTCAATCTCCTCTTTAGCAGCTGTACAATCACATTTTGTACACATTCTCATTTTCATGAAAGAGAGGGTAGTCAGAAGAGCGATGAGTTATCACAGACATACTTGTTAGTGTTAGTCAATGCATAAAACAAGTTGAATAAGTCTACTAGGGTTGCGCAATATGATGAATAATCTAGTGAATGAGTTGTGGTCACGATGCACACAGAAACGATGGAAAATAAGGAATCACGTAAAAGTTGTAAGGAAATACAGGAGTTAGAAAAACAAACGCACACACAAAACTCAGGACAGCAAAATTCAACACATTTGCCACCATGAGAGTCGGAGTGGTTGAATAATTTTCTTTTGTATACAGAACTCTGATTTCTCTTACTGAATTGCTAAAGCTGCAGCGATGTAAAGGATTGCAAAGCGGATTGCCTTTGGTAGGTCGCTCTTCACTTTGTAGATTACTTTGAAGGAGGCGTTAGTTGAGATGGAATGACCAGTGTCGGTTGACAAGTTGTTAGGTTTTCGCACTTGTTATACAGCCACTACTACCTTTCTGTAACCATGCGGGATGGTGATGTTGAGGCGTTTTAGACAGGATATGCGTTGAACGACCAATGCATTTGGCTCCAAAAGAACAAGTGAACTGGTATAAGCACTA